CGTCCGCCGTGGAGTTACAACTCCAACGTCGCGACGGCGGTGGGCTAGTGGCGTTTCGCGCACCGCGCCATGAGCGTCTCATCGCATCCGCCGCCGTTGAAGCGACGCTCTTCGACGCCGGTCCTCCAGGTCGACGCCGTGGTCGATGAAGTCACATATTAGTCATGGGATCCTCCAGCAGATATTCATCGTACAACTGCCTCACCAGCTGGGATTCCTACGACAGGATACCAAGGTAGCGAGTGAGTGTTGTGTTTCACATTATGGGTAACAAACTGAGAGTAAATAGTGTCAATAAAAAAATGCGGCTAATCAACTTCTGAGACGAGAAAACTATTAGTAGATTTTCCCGGAATTGTCCCAGGTTTAAGAGTTCTCCCAGAGTGTAATAGCAAAAGAATATCGACTAAATATATACTGTCGATTACTCATGACACCAACCCCGGCAAGGCCGCGAAGTCATGGGATCCTCTAGCAAGTACTCATCCTACAACTGCCTTACCAACTGGGATTCCTACGATATGATACCAAGATAGTGAATGGGTGTTATAAACACTTTCTGATAGGATGATCAAGGTCGCACATCCTCCTTTCCAGCAGTCTGAAAGAATACTGAAAATAATATTTTTTTTTGTCGAATAAATGCATTTTTCATAATAGATTAGTGTAATCTGAATACATTTTTCTTATCATATTTTCTCCAAAAAAGCTTTATCTTTCTTGAAAATTCACTTTCCGTTTTCAAGAAAAGCAAGGCTTTTTCAAAAGAATTGTTAAGAGAGAACCTATAATTACTTACACTAATCTACTTGAAATGTGTAATAAATAACCTCCTGAGACTCCAGTGTTGTACTAACGTGTTAACGAATTACGATTGTTAAAAGCAATTAATGAAAAATGCATTTCAATAAGAAAATGATAATATTATTTTTCAGGCACCTTCATGAAACAATCGGACGATAAGTTTTAAACATACTCCTTTAAACAGACGTTGAACGGAATGCCGTCATACACTGTAAATCCTCTGATAACTAAACCAGTTACCGATATGTACAATATGAGATTAAACGGATCAAGTCAGTCAAACAGGCCCATACAATTAGTCCATAAACATTACTTTCATGCCTACCGGTAGTGTACATCTGGCCACGTTGTCCCTTTCCACATCCGTACGGCAGCGCCCAGTGAGATGCCGGGGCTGGATCAAAAAAATTCCCTAATTTCAATCCCTACAAATATATTTCTGATAATGATCAGGACCCTCTGAAATGTCAAAAAACGGAGTTTGATCAGTTCTTTTTCCGTTTTTTGATTTTTACTTCGCCGCATCTGGACCAATTTTGAAAAACAAGGCTTCTTCGTTCTTGGTGTGTAGCAACCGTGTGCAAAAATGTCATCCAAGTGCGAACAGTACTTTTCAATATAGGCGTCCTACAATTGTAGGCCTCCTTGATTTTCATAGTCTTTCCTCTCCTTCAGAAAGGCTGGGATATTTCTAGATTTCTACTATTCCATGTCAGCGTCAGCGCTCTCCTATTTCCAGGCCATGTTTTCTTTATTAAATGAAGAACATTTCAGGCTATCTAATAGGTGATATAACTCAAAAGCATCAATTTAATATGAATAGGTTTGTAACATTGTAGGAACGTGTCATATTGATCATGGCCATGATCCTTACAAGCTCAGTTTCAGGGCAGGTGAATTTTTATACATTTTTGCTGGAATAGATCTGTCACGAGTTGCTCGAGAATTCAGGTAATTCAGGGCCGGAAGCTTTTCAAGTGCACTGTTAATGTCTTACTATTAATGCATTTGCAAAATGTTAAATCAGATCCTGATTACAAATGGTTCCTTTTGTAGGTTTCTTCGTAACAAAACTTTTCTAGCAAGTGTCTAGATACGCCAATAACGACTTTTCAAATCAAAAGTTTTAAACCTTTCAAGTGGGAGACGTACTTGTATTAAATAGAGGATACCTTGATGTCACTTTAATGCTAGATCACTTGGGTAGAAATTGCAAAATGCCTTCACCTATGTGAGGACATCAATGGCAGCTGTGCACGGGATTAGCCAATGAATCTCGTTAAGTTACCATGTCAGGATGGGTAGCTGGAGAGTTTTTCAAAAACTCTATGTAGCAAATCTAGGAACATAAAACATATCATGCTCTTATTGATATGTTCCACCCTCCGACTATTATGGAAAGTAGATTAGCGCATCGGCTGTTAGCAATGGCGCATGAGGCGACCGCCGGTCTAGCCTATGACAAACTAGGGGGTATCAGCAACAGGAATTTACTCACGTTTTCAAAACCCAATAAAGTGACCACTATGGATATCTTATCAAAAGGTTTTTGAAAGTAACGAGGATGTACCTGATAATCTTGCAATGATTAATGGGCATTACTTTAGTTGTGAATCTGGTGTACGAATGCTAGGCATATGTAGCTTTTCGACATGCTCTCCATGATACTGGAGTTTGATTATCCTTCTAAAAAGTTGACTTAAACCATTCAATATGTCGGAAGCAGACCAAAACAAGAAAACTCAAATTAATAGTCAATAATGTACAATACCCTGTAGTCACGATCACATTAGTGCACTTTTTCTTTCCCTTCCACCTTCAAAATCGATGTGACCTTAATTTGACATCGTAAAGGACATACTCAAAGGCAAGCAAAGAACCACGACTTTCCGGCGCCTTCAAAAAGCAGCTTCCTATCGACTTTGCTCGAGCAACTCGTGCCAGATTTATTCCAGCATAAACATATGAAAATCAACTTACCTTGAAACTGGCTTTGTAAGGATCTTGTTCACGACCATCATAACTCCTTCCAATACCTTCCTACAAGGTGGTTTAATAAAATATCGCTTTTAGTATACTGATTGTCCACGTTTTAGGTCTCACAACTGCAACCGGCACATTCACCATTTTTTGATATCACGCAAAATTCATCCGCCTCTTTCTCAGAAACTAACCATAGGATTGCTTTGGTCCCATGGAGGCAAGAAATATGTCATACTGAATTTTTAGACAAATCGACTAGGACCCATTTTCCTTATGTCTTATGCCTGGTCGTAATATAATTATTCATGCAACAGAAAGTTGTAATACGCATACCTTTGGTGTTGAGTCTCATTTGTAACACACCATGCATCGTTTCGACTATTATTTGAAGATTGACCAATTGCACAGCTCAGATGAGAAAGCATGCAGATGTTTTGAGCACACCCAAAAAGGTTACGGGCTGGTAGTGCTTTGGTCGATTTGCAATTGCTCCTTCCACTATCTGTACAGGGTAATTCAAAAAACGGAGACAATATTTCTAGGGCGGAAAGTTTATATAAACTGTCGTGAAATTTGCCTTTACTGAGATACAGGGTGTTGTAATTATAATTTCGAAATCGGCGAAAAAAATTATATGTCCAGAGTGGATAATCTTATAGAGCTATTTTTTCCAAATAACAAATGATAACAGCCCGGATTAACCTATACTAGTGGCGTGGAAAGTGGTATGTTTTGACTACAAAGAACTAAAAAGTAACCTATTTTCTACGCCACAAGTCTATATGCAAACATCTTTTGCGTTTCCCGATAAGGCATTTGAATTCACATGAACTGAGAAATATTTACCAAATCATTGTTTCTGAACAAAACTAGTTTGAATATTTAAAGTAGAATCCATATAAAATCCTAAATTCGCTTTAGTCTGAAAATCGCTGGAATGAGTGATGTTTGATTGATTAGTTTATTCGAGCAGTAGTCTTACCTTAGCACAATGCTGTTTGACAAATTTTTAAGATTTGTCCTTAGTTAAGCCCTAGCTAGCATATAACGTTACATCACCGTGTATCCGAGTTATGGTACATCTCAGAGTCTAAAAAAACATTAATTGACTCAAGCACTAGAGTGGAGGACTGGCACAGTTTACTCCGGAACATGCAACAACTTACACAAGTATTGTGACAAATAGTACTGTTGGCGCCATTTGTTGGGCGAGTCTCCTACTCATGACCGCACAAGCCGCTTAAATAAATTAGAACCCAGAAAAACGCTACAGTATCCATCCACAGCCCCTCTCAGCATGACAGCAAATTTGGAGCATGGTTACTACCTGCAACGCCTTTATGGATTATAAGAAGCAAGCGATAAAATTTGCGCAAGCTTTGATATAAATCTATTTAAATATTACAAATTCCAATGATTTCTAAACAGTGTGCTCAGATCATCGACACCTAGCTCGTCAAATATTATATGTTCTATATCTCTTTCCAATATAGATAGGCAGCTGGAACAAGTAGGGGAGACCGGGTACAAAAGTAACACTTTGTACCTTTACCTTGGTTTCTGGCTGGGTGTTAATGTTGTCATTAAGTTAATATAACCATATATAAATTCAGTTTATGTTCTTTAGACTAGTATTATAGTTATATTATGCTGTGTTTTATAGGAATAATAGAAATTAAAAAAAATCCTTAGTTGTTACTTTCGACCACATAGGCAGGTCGGAAGTAACACATTGTGGGTCGAAAGTAACAAGACATAGGGGTTGGTAATGAATACAATATTATACATGGCAAACCAACAAATTATTTATTTCAAAATTTTGTATTGATAACACAAATAAACTTCTGTATTTTAAATTACAAAAATTATATATTTTAAGAAAACAAATCAAACAAAAATATTTTTAATTTAAGTAATGAGATCAATAGAGTACCTAATCTTAATCATTCTTTTATAATCAGACTTTTATAATTCAGTCATTATTATCCTATCGGAATCGCAATTGTGGCACACATAATTGTTATCATCACCCACGCATTCCACATGGGACCACATTTTACATTCGATACATTGTATCCATTGTTCATTTGGTCGTCTATTGCCAAAAGTTTCTAAACAGACAAGACAGAGGCAATCTTCGTCGTCAGACCTATCTTCCTTTCCTTTTGGTGCCTTCTTCGTCTTCTTTCCTTTTGCCTTTCCTTTTGCAGATATCATTTTCTCTTACGTTCTCCAGTACTGGTTTTCTTTCGTTGTTGGTGCTCTTGTTCAATTACATTTTTTTCGGGAGTGTCCCTGAGAATGGCAGTTTTACGTTTTTTACGACCTTTATTTGTTTCAGTCCTCGGATCCGCTTGCGGTAAAGGTCTAAGATCTTTAGGTGAGAAATTAAACGGCTGGGTAGAGTTTGCTTGTTGCAGCTCGCTCGGTCCTGGCACTGGTGTTTTGGATCTTTGATCAAAAATTGAGTTAGCTGATAGAAGATCAGTGCTAGCACAGATGAGGTCCGGTATATTTTGAACAGCCGGTGATTGGTCATTATTGTTTGATTTGTTTGATAAATCATTGCTATCTGTACGGTGAACATTCTGGTCAACTGATGTTGGAAGATCCCCAACTGGAATACTTGGATCAACTTGAATGGATGACGTTGCGTCAGAACTAATCAACATATCATTTGGTGAAACTTCTCTGTTAACTTGTAACGGCCGGTCAGTCACAGATGATGGCGCGTAGTCAACAGCAGTAAATATATTCCTATTAAATGCACTTATACCGGTACAGGAAAATCCAGTCAGTTACAGAAAGAGGAAATGCTTCTTTAAAAATACCAGGAATGTAATGAATAGTCGTCGTTCGACCAGGATCATTTCGCTTCCAGTTGTCTGTAGCGGTGTTTATCATTTTCTTAAATGGCCCAAATACTGCTCTACCCAAAGGCTGAAGCTTGTGGGTGCAATGGGGTGGAAACGATAGCAGTACCATTCCGTTTTCTTTAAAAAAGTCTATAGCTTGAATAGATATATGTGATGCATGGTTGTCGTGCAGTAACAAACATTTTTGATCAACTGTGGGCTTGACTTGTCTTTTAAAATGTTGTGGAAACAGTAAAAATTCTGCATCCTGCATCCATCCGCTAGCATTGCCAGCTCCAGCACAACCAACAGGGCCCTCACGTATCATATGGTCTTGGAATCATTTCAGTGGGAATACGAAAAAAGGCGGGATGTGTCCTCCTTCAGCATTAATGGCAACAGCAACAGTTACTAGTCTTCCGTGCTCTGCAGAGGTTACTGCACCTACTTGCTTAATTCCTTTTTGAGCTACAATTTTGCTAGGTTTTTGGACAGTGGTTACCCCTATCTCGTCCATATTCCAGATATCTTTTGGCTCAAATTGGTACCTATCCATTACTTCAGCAAGCTTATCAAAAAATTTACTCACATTATGCTCGTTAAAACTTGAAGCCCGTGACAGACTCGTTGCTTGAGGACATCTTAAAGACAAGCTTGGGTGTCGTTTTAAAAAACTCGTCAACCATTCCTTACCCGCTATCGACTATCGTGCCACTTTTCAGGAAATGTTTTTCGATTTTTAATCGCTAACTCGTATGCCAGTTTACGTACTTCAGATGGAGATAATCCAAAATAAACTGCAGAGCACTCGATTAAATAGTCGCGTAGATTACTTTCCTCGTTATTGGTAAAAACTCGGTTGACGCAACGGTAGCCCACAACTGCATTAGTATTTCCTGCTTTTACTTTTTTTATATATCTATATAATGTTACATGGCAAACATTATACTTTCTTGCCAGGCCTCTAATTTTTGCACCATCTTTGAAATGCTCTTCAGCCGCTTTTCGATACACTTCTGTGTCGGTAGTTCCTCGTTCAGTAGTCCTTATGCGTTGTCGCGGCATTCTGTTGAAGTAAGTAAAATAAAAAGGTACGTAATAAGTAAGAAAAATATGATTGATAATTAAATATTATACGAGGACAAAAGTAACATGTTACTTTTGTCCCCCTGTACCCACAGGGCTATGTTACCTTCATACCCGTACACATTCTTGCCAAAATGAGCAACGTAACCTTGAAACGGAACGTGATACTAAAAAATGAATTTAAGCAATGTACAATCACTCTAATCAAGAAAAGATATCCAAACATTCAGATTACTATCATCCTTTTAAGACTACGTAAATATGAAATAAAAAAACGTCTAAAAACTTACTTTTGAAATGTGAAAACACGTATCGTCTTGTCACACAGCCTAACAGTGCGTGGCGCATGCGGCGACTGAATGAAATTAAAGGGGCGCTACCGGCTATCGCCTGACGGCGGCGCAGCGGTGTTCACCCATTGGATAAATCTAGAGAGAATTTCAAACAAGTACTTATTTGAATGTGCTATCAAGGCGAATCCAAATTTCAAAGTCGGAGTTTAAAATACACAATTATAATCTTATGACACATTGGTACATCCAGTGTCACTCGCACTGTCAAGACATATCCAGCGACACCTTATATGTCAAGATCCAGCAAACCGATGTAGCCGGTGAAGTAGACATTTTTCGTTCTATTCAAACTTAAATTGTTTTACATTTTTTGATTACTTACTAGTAATTTGAATTTCTTTTTATTAATGATATAGTGCCCATTCCTAGGCCAAACCCTTTTCAATCACTTTCTTTTGGTAAATGTCATAGTTTATTGATTGTATAATTTCACACGTAGCACATCTGCTGCCGAACGTCATTGTCTATTCGACAAAGGTGTTCTTAATCTTTTTTTGCACTCTGCGAATTATCGATGAAGGTTTCTTCCCTTGTGCTAGGGAAGTATGTACTCTTTAAAGGGTAAGAGTATCTATTGCCATTTGGTTATCTCCTGTCAAAGCTAATGTCAATTGTTTTCTGGATCGATTCGTACTCAGGCTATACTCGTTTTGACAAAAAAAATAGATGTGCCAAGTCTGTCAAAGAGGCCAAATACAAGTACATCCTCCACACTCCCCATACACTTGATAACGCTAACGCTAGTTTTTTCTCTGCCCTAAGTACTGATCATCATCAGTGTTACTGAACCACACCAGTCCATCACGAAATGAGTACCAGCGACAGTACTATAACATATCCCTGCCGGCGATGGTGTCAAACGCAAGGCAGGGTTGGGCGTACGAAAGTCGCCGTTGCATCGCATCGTCGCGACCGACCGCGAGCTTTTAAATAGTCTTCTTAATTGTAAGGACAAATGTATTGCGAAATCTTTGAAGTGTGAAATTTGTACTGATAGGTGCGTAAAATTACTTTTGTTGGAAGCGTATAAATAATAGTAATTTGCCTTTATTCGATTCTTTTTCAATATGTATTCAAAAAACACCAATAGACGACTGAGTCACTGAAATTTAGAGAATCTAATCGGTGAAGTGTTACCATGGTGGTATCTTTCAACTCCATACCCTGTTAGAATTAACTTCTGCAAACGGTTTAAAGTTAGAATAAGATAAACGAATATCAATATTATCAGCAGCATATTAATATAACCATATATTAAGTGAAAACAGATAGAGATTGTTTATGTTTTCCATTCATATTAAAACTATTCAGGAAGATTGGTTAAACAGAATGGCGAGAGAGTGATTATGTATCGCTAAACGAAATTCAAAAGGAAGGCTATTGTACAGCTTGGCAGCACAGCGTACGATAAGCTCTTATAGTAGAGAGAAGTAAAGTGTTTAGGGGTAACTAATAACTGTCGAATTCTGGTGCCATGCTATTGATAATTTCAAATTTGTTGAGTTTATTCAGGAGAGATTCTGGTTCCCTATTTACTAAAATCTTATGAACTCACATAAGCCTTGGTATTTTCTGAGACTCTCCATGTTCATTAAATCGTTTTCTTTCTAAACATGACTTATATGATCAACTTTCCCTATGCCTAGAGAAAAACTATAAGAGTTTTGTAATCGTTGCAACTTGTCTTTATAATATTTTATTACAGCTGGGCCATATACACTTGCGCGGTATGAAACTCTTGAAATGATGGAGAATATACTGCCGTCAACAAAATGAGATATACTTGCCCCACCCTGGACAACCCAATATTTTCAACCTCTACAAAAATGTTTCTGAAATAATCAGGAGTTTCTGAAACGTAAAAAAAGAAGCTTGAGCGAGTTTTATTTTTTCCGTGTTTTTGCCCCTAGCTCCGCCGTCTCTAGATTGATTTGGAGAAACTACATAGCTCTTTCATCCCAAGCATAATATTAACTTTGGGTGCAAATTTTATCCAAATCCGATCAGGACGTTTCAAGTTATAGGCGGTCCAAAGATTAGCGGTCAGACCGACAGACAGACAGACGGATCGAGGGAAATGAGTGACGTGGTTTTGGGTCATTTAAGATGTAAATAAGATTATATCTCACTTTCGAATTTTTTACTTCTTAACCAGTAGGCACGGGAAGTAAAAGCAGTTTTTGAATACCATTTTGATCCTTCTCTTAGTGCGGTATAGTAGGAAGACATTCGGTCGCTTTTCGATCCCCTTTTTGTTTCTATTAAAAACTCAAGTACCAGGTACATATGTCCAGTCGCAGAAATCCGATATACATATGTTTTTAACCAAGCTAAAAATCGGGTGTATGAAAAACTGAAAATAATTGTTTTGTCTGCGCGATAAAGACGAATGTATGGACACTCCAAATGTCAAAATCCATAAAGTTGTATGAGCTGTAGCCAGTAGAATAGAAATAACAAAGATGAAAGTTTCAATCAAAATCCGCCATTCGATTTCAAAATAATTCGAATGTATCTACTGTCACTCGCCCCGTTAAGACAGAACCTGATATGTCAAAATCCATGAAGCCGTTTAAACTCAAGCCCTGAAGTAGAATTACTTTTGTCCACGTAAGTGCTCTCGAAAAACATATAAAACCCACAACCTGAGACGTCGAGTAAAAATGATCCAAAGCCATTTCGTGCCCCTAGTAATAAATATTGCTATACGTGCATTCTGGATAACGCAAAGAACTGGCTATCAGTTAATCCATCCCGCATTTCCTGATGAAGACACGCAAGCGCCCAAAGCAATAAATAGAAGCTGCAAAAACAAGGATACATGGCGTAATTGGGGTAATTCCTCTGGGAAGAGATAAACAGCCTTAGATGTCCTCTTCCGGGTCGCATACACTGCAACAAACAATTACATGTAAGTCTTCGTATGGTTACGTGACGTTCCTCAATATTTATTTTATTAATTAGCAGTCAGAAGTCCTCCTCTTCAGCTGTATCAATGTACACAAGTTTCTGTTTAAAAATACCAGAGACTTACCTGCGTGACAGTTTTGTCCATAGAGACAAAGATAATGTTTCGGTATTTACCCTTAAAGGCGGGATATTCCAGGGTAAATCGCCTTGAAAATGTCCCTTACCTTGCAAAGTATAGCCAAGATGGATTCTTGTTTTAGTCTGAACGAAAACTGTTAACTATCAACTGAGCATAGATCCATACTTTCCACATAAATTATTCTTTTTCATGTTATACGATTATCTCCATTACCTACTATTTATCGGTTTCAGATGAATTAAAAGTCAAACGAGGTTAAAAATTGACCTACGATTTTTGTAGAATAAATCCTTTCCATAATCAGAAAGAAATTACAAGGATGGAAATTC